CATAACTTTATTTATACACCCATTTATTCGAACCAGTTCCGTTGTATTATACAGATAATCTACTGGACCTTAGTCCGGTTACTCGACATTAGTCCTTTTATTTTTAGTTTTGGAACATGTTTACTAAATTTTTAAGGTGTAATTTCATTTTTTACACACACAAAAAGAAAAAAAGGGATTTTTTGATACTGATTTTTAGTCCCCTTTTTTATCGAATGTGAAAAACGGGAAATAATCCCATATTTCATAAAACAAAAACAAGAAGAGTTTGATCTAAAAAATAAAAAACCAAAAGAATGGATTATCTGAAAATGCTGAGACAGTACTCCTCAAGCTGTTTTACACTCTCCGGTGTTACTTGTTTGACTCTAGTCAACGTTGTGATTGATTGTGGCGCAGAAAGTTTAACCATTTCTTCTTTAGAGGGGTTGGCAGTTGTTAAACGCATAAACACACTTGCTGATTTGATGTCTACAAATACTTTGTTGTTTTTATTGTGGTTAAGAACCACAAAGCCTGCGCGATGGAATGAAGACTATATATTTTTTCTTGTTGCCTTTTCCTCGATGACTTTCATTACTTTAGTCAAATGTTCCGAAATTACACTTCCTCTTGCTGCTCTCTCATCTGAAGTTGCGCGTTTACTCAAGGGATCATCAAGTTGTTTTATCCATGACGCAACTAAGTTGTCTAGAGAAACTCCATTATTAATCAACACATCTGCTGTTGTAGAAGAAGTGACAACACTTCGAGTTGATTGTGAAATTGTTTGAATGGTACTAGTTGAACTTCTGAACAACGGTGTTGCAGATGTGCTTGATTTTTTGACTGCGCCGAAAAGACACAAATCGAGTGGCTGGACAATATGACTTGAATGAGGCTCGAAGAAATGAAAACAAATGAAGTTGTTGTAAAATATTTCTTTGAGCTCGTCACCAACGTGTGCGCTGAAGTTGTCCATAAGGATGATAACAACTTGAGTTGGTGGGTAGTTCAATGTTCTTCTTTTGTTAACAATAAAAGGAAGAACAACTTCATACATCCAAGTCTTAAAAATTAGCTGATTGACAAACCCCGTCTTTGAGTTGTACAAAGACAAATTTGGGTATTTAGCTAACACAGATTCATCAACAAAGATGTTTGGAATAACGGCTGCTGGGACGGAAAACGGTCCATCCGCTGAGATACATGCAATGATGGTGCTTCTTTTTGATGCTCTTGGTATACCAACCTTGACACCCTTTCCAGATTTGCTGAAGACGGAAACACTCTGTTTATCTGCCCACTCATTAAATCCTACTTCATCAATGTTGAACAATAGAGCGGATTCAATTACATTGAAATTGTCTACAAATGTCAAATAATTATTCAATACATTTTTTAATTGGTTTGATTTTTTTTCTATTTCTTCAGGCTTGGCTTGAACAACATTATAATCATGAAACTTTTTAACATGTTTGATTATTCCCTTTCTTGTCATTTCGAACTTGTAATCAAAAGACTGGTATAGGTGATCAATCAATGTTGGAGTTTGATTTAACAAACATGTATCACATTGATCAAACAAAAAAGCAATTACAGTATCCATTGTTTCGTTTATTTTACACTAATCAACAGGTTCTTTAGACTTGTTTCAAATGTGTCGAAACTTCTCCTTTAATATCAAATAGAACACCAAGTGTTTTATTGCTCACTTTATAACGAATCTTTAAATGCTGTATTTGTTCCACTGCGCTCATTTTTCTTTCAAATTCTTCATCTGTAGCAAACGCTGAAATGGTCTGAAGTGCTTGAATGTAAAAGGCATCTGCCACTTATCCCTTTTTATACGGCTTCACCACATTCAGCTTCATTTGCTGTCTTGATATTGCTGCTTTTCTTTTGGGTTTGTTGATTGGTGATTTGAAAGGTTTCACAACTTGGCCCGCCTCGACGATGTTTTTGATTTCTTCGAGAAAATTTCCTTGTTTTTCAAATTGCATTTTGTCTCTAAATTTTTAATTCAAAAAAAATATTTAAATCATTATTTTTTAAAAATAGAAAAGTTTGAAAATTAATCAATTTTGTTGTTAAATGTGATAGAAAAAATAACTACAAAATAATAGTTTTAAGGGGGCTAATGTTCAGTTGCCGGTGAATGTTGAATCGACAATCTGTAATGTATTAGACTTCAATAATAAAAGCAATTAAAACTTAAAAAAATGAATTTAATTAATTTTATTCAAAAAATCAATTCTAAGAATAATGTATTGACATATTATATATAAAAATGTGAATTATTTCCTATTAATATAGTACTATTATCGCATATTTGCTTTAATTAATGATCAAATATACCTTGATAATCATGTAAATACAAAATATGAATAGACTCCCAATTTTGTATTTTAATTTCAAATTATTTTGAAATAATACATGATATTTTAAACAACACTTTTTTAAAGACAAATATATAGGTTTATGTTCAATTTATCTTCAAAAATTGAATTCATTTGTTATGTTGAAAAGTTGTTGCAATTGTTTATTCAAAATCTTTGATTAATCAAGAAAAATACTCAACTTTCCGTTGTTATGCGTTCATCTACAACTATTTGAGCCAACTAAAAAGATGAATTAGAACACAAGAATAGCGGACCCAATATTAAAGTAACATTGTGTGTATGCTTATTCATTTTTTTAATTTAATGTTTTATAAAGCAAAACTGTTTCCGTCGAAAGAAAAATCACCAATATAATAAAAACTTCAATATTTAACTCCATAAATTTACAAGAAAAAAAAACTAAAATCCATGTTTTGTAACATAAAGAATTATCAACTTTTTTATTCATTTTTCATTTGAAAAATGAATCCCACATATATTTTATGATACCCTTGTAAAAATATAAAACTAAATAATAGAATGGACATTATCACGTTGTTAAAGGTACTAACGGTAATATCACCTGAAACACAAGTGATTTTTCAAGGCCATTACGAAGAGGTATTGCAATGCAAAACGATTGAGGAAATGATGTATTGTTTTGGACCAATAATGACGCGCTTCTTCTTGGACGAGGCGATACCCTACGAAAAACGTTATGAAATATTCGCTGCATTTGGTGATCACAAAAAGATGATTGCAAGACTCGAACCACTTCTGAACGCACTAGACCCACAAAACACTGGTACGATAAAAACTTTCATTAACGACATCCAAATAATAAAGTCCGGATTTTGTGGACACTTATCAACACCAAACGAAGAGATGTTCCAACACTTTTTGGACTATCATAAAGAGATTATAGCACCAAAGGAATACAATATTAGTCATATGGTCGACCCCTTTTACGCGCCAATCAGCCAACTCACGGAAAAGATGAAGTGTGCAACACCAACCCAACTGAGTCAAGTCGCGCAGGTACTTTCAATGGAACACAAAGGAATGGTTTTCGAGGACGACATTGAACTCGACTTGAACACCCTCAGCACTCCAATCCTTCTCAGACTGCTTACAATTTTTCACTGATACCTTTTACATTTAATTTTGTGTGTTTTATTCGTCTAGTTTGTTTTATGTTATACCAACGTTCTAATACAAGTCAGATACCTGTGGTAAAATCTGAATCACACTGTATTATAGAGTAGTTGTAAAATTAACTATAATATAATCATACCTAATTATCATTAGAATTGGTCCAAAATAATGATAATTTTCTTCAAATAGCATTTTTTTATCACAAAAAAAAATACGAGACTATGGTTGAATAAAGTATAGTAAAAATATAGTTTCGAAAGGAAGAACTGTAATATCGAAAGGAAATAGACAGAAAATCATTAGTGAAGGCTTACAGAAGGTTTGTAATGGTTCTTCTTCCCCCAAACACTCAGCGAACTTTAAAACGGAACTTAAAAATACAATGGATAATTCAGTCACAAAGACTGCTATAATCATACACCCCGATCTGGGCATTGGTGGAGCCGAGAGATTAGTTGTGGACTTGGCGCTTGCATTGGAGCACGAAGATTACGACGTCAAATTTTATACATCGCACCACGACAAGAAACATTGTTTTCCAGAAACAAACGGGCGCTTCCAGGTGTTTGTCCACGGCGATTTCATCCCAATGACGATATTTGGATACTTCTACATCTTTTTAGCAACGATCAGAGCACTCTACCTTGCGTTTGTTGCTGCTTGGAAGTCCAACGCGGACTTGTACATCGTCGACCAAATCAGTGTCGGCGTGCCTATACTCAAGTTGTTCAACAAGAAAGTCCTCTTCTACTGCCATCATCCAGACAAACTACTTGTGAAGAAGGGAGGCTTCATGAAGAGGATGTACAGAAAGCCATTCGACTGGATTGAGGAGAAGGCCATGAGTTTTGCGGACACTATTGTTGTAAACTCACTGTACACACAGACGGTCTATGAAAAGGCATTCCCGTCACACTCAAGCACTCCACAGGTCCTTTACCCAACGTACAACCCAATTTTGGAAGAAGAAAACCAAGACGAAAAAAGTCCTTTTGAAGAGGAAGTCACCGAAGAGTTTATGTTTGTGTCAATCAACCGGTATGAAGGCAAAAAGAATCACGACGTCGCAATAAGTGCGTTGAACGAGTTACCCGAAGATTTAAGGGGGAATGTGCGTGTTGTGATTGCGGGTGGGTTCGACGACAGGGTCATTGAGAACATCGAAGTCTACAAATATTTGGAGTCCCTCGCTAAAAAACTTGGGGTCGAACACCACGTAACACTGATTAAGAATTTCACTAATCCGGAAAGAGAATATTTGTTGAAAAGAGCAACCGCTGTCCTCTACACCCCACCGTATGAACATTTTGGTATCGTTCCATTGGAAGCTATGATCAAGAACGTACCAGTCATTGCGTGTAACAATGGTGGACCACTTGAAACTGTCCAAGACGGAATCACTGGAATGTTGTGCGATGGGTCGCCTAAAGGATTTGCACAATGTATTACGAAAATGTGCAACGATAAAGAACTGAGAGAGAACCTCAAACAAAACGCAAAGAATGAAACAAAAAAGAAATTTGGGTTTGAGACATTCACCCGGAACGTCATCAATGTTGTCAATAACATCTTGGCTCACTAAGCAGCCAATTTAACTTACCTTCAGCAAATTGAACATTTTTAGTGAGTCTGTTTAACTACAATTTTTTAATATAAATTCTATTAGATGTAGGAGTTATGGTTGTTATTTTAAAATAACATATTAATAATAATATGAATTATTTAAATTTTGTAATTGAAGTCGGATTTTTAATTAACGATGGAGAAAATTAACTATATATTTAGTTTTTTAATTATAATAAATAACTTTTTTTTCTTTTTTTTTCGAAATAATAATTTTTTTTGTTTTATTTTTAAATTTTTTTACTTTTTAACCACATTATACATCCAAAAAAAGAAAGCAAGAAGTGTGGAGTTTGTAATTTTTTCTCTGGCTAATTTCCGAGTTATATCAACCAACCGGCAGACCATTTAATACAGTCTGTCTTTTAACGTTATCTGCTCGGAAACGTTATCTGGTGCCTTTTGGACTATAAAAATGGAATAATTCGGGAAGCAGTCCCAAAAATCCATCGCAATTGTTTCGGGTTTTTTCACGTTTTACCTAATGCCCGATGTTTAGACAAAAATGAAGCTATTTTTTGTCCACCAGATAACGTTAAAAGACTCATTCTATAGTTAATTACAGAAATGTCATAGTCATAAGGCGATTAATACGTGAAACCGATTGATTTGAAAAGCAAAAAAAATTGACAACCAACGTTTCTTTGAGAATGTCAAATGGCAAAAATTAATAAGAAATTTACTATGTATTTATGGTTTTAAATAAGCGATGGTCGATACTATATATTATAATATAAAAAAACAGATATAGTAAATTTCCTTGTTGTATTTTTGGAATATCGTTAATTAGAAATCAGACTTTAAATTATTTTATAAGATTTATTTTATTTAATTTGTTTTATTTAAAAATCAACCATTCAAAAAAATTTAATAGCATTTTATATAATAGTTAATAGTTTATATAACTATAAACTATGTTTGTTATTATTATCAATTATTTAGAACTTGGTTTCAAAGTTTAAAAAAAAATGAAACCCAAAAATTGGATAAAAAATAATAAACAAATAATAATTCAATTTTATTTTTGTAAAAAAAAATTGAACAAAATCAACAACACCCGACAATTAAATTAAACACACCGTGTTAAAAAAAAGCAAATTATAAAAGAGACTCACTCACCATTTATCATTATTGGTTTGTATTTTAACTCGGAAATTAAAGCAATTTATCATGATGCTATAATAATCTAGATTTTAGTCATGCCAAAAAAATCAAAAAGTAGTTTTTAATCGATGTTTGTCCTGTTCTGGGTTGTTATTTCAACAAAACAAACAACCCAACCATTAAGAAAAATTTAAAAAATTAAATACAGATACCCAAAAAATACTCCAACATAGAAAAAAAAACGACCGGCAAACCATAAAATTATAGTATATTATAGTTTTTTGTTTTTTGTCCTGTTTTTTCAATTTTGAATTATAAAACTATTAAATGGTTTTTAAAAACCATTTTTATAGTTTACCGAGATTTTAAAATAGTTTTTAGTGTTTTTTTTGACAAGATTGAAATTATTAGAAATTCTAGTATTTTAATCAATGAGAAATTTTAATAAAAACAAATATAAAAATAATAATAATTTATAATTAAGACAAATAAATAAACAGTTAAAAATTGGAAAGAATAAGTCTTAAAATAAATGAATTGAAAAATATGACGAGAAGTAGTGCTTTAAGTGGGAAAGAATGTGAGTGGCTCAATTAAAATTTTATTCACAAGAATCATCGAACTAAAAAGATAATTTCGAAGAAAAAACTCAAAAATAAAAGCAAAAATATAAATAATACAAATAATACAATTGAATAGTAAAAGAATTAGAATAAAGTAGTAACAAAAAAGAAAGAAAGCGACGTGTTATTAGTTTTTACTTTTCTAAAATAGTGGAGAAGTGTAAAAAAACGAAAAGGTAGTAAAAGATACTAAAAAAGAGCCAAACCAAAATTGAATAAAAATAGGATGGAAAAGTAGATGTGGAAAGAAAATAATTGTTCTATAAATTACACGAATATAGTATAAAAAGGATGTTTTGAACTATGAATACCAATGTTCTGTTTGCTCATTGCGATAGCAGCTGCTGCTGATTTCAATGCTTGGAAATTGGCCAACAAGAAGCATTTCTCACTTGCTGAGAATTTGAGAAGACGTGCCATTTTCAACAAGAATGCCAAATTTGTTGAAGCATTCAACAAACAACACAGCTTCGAGTGTCAGTG